ATATTATATAATATTAAAAACTTAATAATTTTAATAATTATATAAAAGTTATTTATTAAAATAATATATAATAAAAGTAATTTCTTTAAATTATAAAATATTATATTAAAATTAGCTTCCCGCAGCGATCATTTGCCCAGCTTTACTCCTCCATTCCTATTCCCAATCCCATGTGCCACTCATGCAGAATGTTAACCACGTCCACAACAAGGAGTCGCAATCCTTCGGAGCAGCCTCCCGCCAAGAGGCGACAGCGGGCAGCGTATGCGCTCGTCGCTTGGTGAGTTTGCTGATCAGACCTGTTGCTTACTGAATTGAGCAAGTCAGCAGACCAAGAGCAGCTGACTGACTGGCCTACTGTGGCAGCACGGCTTGCAAGGCACGTAAGGTGAAGTGTGAAGGGAGCGTGCCCTGTAGGCGGTGTGAACGCATGTTTTTGGAGTGCAGATACTCCTCGGACCGCGTGAGCGTCTCATCAGCCATTACGTGTGTCTCCTTGGTCGGCGTTCCTCGACATCTGATCGCTGACATGGTGTTCAGATCGGCCGCTGAATCTTCGCTGCTCCGGATCCGCCAGGAATCCAGAGACTCGAGTCGACCTTGGCAAAGATTCAACAGAGCGTCAACTCACTGATAGATCTCACTGCCCACACGACAGCTGAGCAGAACGATAGACAGAGCCAACGACTGCCATGCTCGAAGGATGCACCCTCGGGGTTTGTTTTATCAGAGACTTCAGTCCACCGTCAGAGCCTGTACGCTTGCGAAGCGTCTGACCTCAATAATGGACGAGACCTTCCCATGCATCCAATCAGCTTTGTTCACTCATTCGAAGTCGCCAAGAGCAAACTCCAGACTAAAGGGTATCCTATGTCGATCGGTTCCGATGTATCAAGCATACCGGGCCCATCAACCACTGCTGGGAGCCCCCCGGTGTCTTCCTCCCTTCCACGACACTCTGTGCAGTCCCTAATTGAACTTGGCCACGACGAAACCCTACGACTCTTGTCTTTATTCCAAGATGCGTTGGCTCCATTCTATCCTTGCTTTGACATTGATGCCGCCAAGGAACTGTCAAGAATCATCTTCGACAGATTCAGCCGACCGAGTTCGATCGCGGGGCCGGCTCGGTCAAGTGAGGAATGCCCGCTTCATCCAAAACGAGTCGAAATATTAAAGGGACTCCTTTCTCTGTCTCTATTGTTTGATGCCTGCGATGGCAGTGGAGTCAGCTTTGACATGAACAGGCATGATGTGCCCATAGAGTGGTCCATCGATGCTTGTGCGATTTACGGAACGCCCGAACTTGACGATGTGCTTATGGCAATTCTTCTGGTAAGCGCTCCATCCTGGTTCATCCGGAACGGTATTCTGCTTTCGCTTGCTTCAACTGACGGCCTCTCAAACCACAGCATCGATTTCTTGCATCGAGATGAGCCTCTTAAAGCGAGCAGGGTTCTCAGCTTTGCTTTTCGTGCAGCTCTTGAGCTTGGCATGCATAAGATATCGGGGCCGACCGCGGTGGATCTCAGCTCAGAGGAACTTGAGTCACGCAAGCTCATAGTATGTACTATTTACAGCCTTGACCGTGCTACTGGTCTAGCAACAGGTCTTCCATTCTCGGTCGATGATACTTATGTGGATGAGAATTGCTTCCATTTGGTATGTATCAGTCATGTATTCCTTTTGATGATTTGGTATTATGATGCGACTGCCGGAACTTGCAGAAAGGATGCGCAGCTAATACAAGAGGCCAGCGCGAAACACAAGCATTTTTGCGTTGCTCTATCGCATATGATCGCTTACTGTTGGACATCTACAGCCTTAACAACGAGGGTCCGCTAAGCAAGCAAGTCAACCAGGACAGGATCGATTTACTGGGAATGAAGATCGATCGTATCCTCAACCAAATACCGGAACACTTGCAATACCACCAGCCGCAAAACCTGGGACAAAGCCCCAGAGCCCGCTCTATCGCCAGCCAGCAGGCAGTTCTTCGCATTCGCGGACATCATCTCAAAATCTTGTTGAAAACACGAGATTTATTCCCTATAAAGGGCAGCGCTCAACAGGAAGACTCTGCTCGAGTGCTTCTCGAGTCTGATAGACATCTTGAATGTATGCTCCCAGATCGTTGAGTGTGCGTGCATCGGACCTGGATTACCAGGCCTTTTTGACTACTTCACGATGTCTGCGCTAGCAGCGCTCGTTCTTACAGTATCCCAGAACCCTCCGTGCTTTAGTCAATTTGCAGGTCCAGCTTTCCACAAGGCTATTGCGATCCTCAGGTCTTCGCCTCGTCGTGTCTACAGGCCACAGAGGCTGTGGTGTTCGTTTGACGAACTTGAGAAGATTGCCGCTTCACTAGGGATCCCGCCTTCTGAGGGCGCTCCAATGCCCTTCAACATGCCCACAATCGATACCACAGGGCAGTCACCGTTTACGCAAGGTGGCATACTCCAAATGCCAATAGGTGAGTTCGGTGCTCTCTTCTCTGCTACCGAAAGAAGGCAACACTCCTGTGCTCCAGGGTTAACATTTCAGATGAGTTTTGTTGGGGGAACACGGAACTGCCCGATTGCTTCGATCTGGATAAGCTCTTCCCGAACTCTGATTTGGGACAATCCTTGAACACTTTAGGCCCATATGGATCCAATGGTGGATAAACTGCTCTACTAGAGGCCTAAGGTTTAGGTAGCAGAAGCGACACAGTTGTACGGCTAGCGGGCAACAGAACTAAATGATCTTACACTCTAATCTAATGTATACGATATTGTCCCTTGTTGACTTTATTTACAAGGGAAGCAAGCATGCAAATCATCACAGAGTTTCCTGACTTTGTAGTCGCTCCAAATTACAACTTGCTCTCCTTTCTTTGGGCTCCAGAAGTCATTTGCGCAGCAAACTTCTTGAAGGCCTCTAAGCTTTCAGGATTGGCTAGGCCGGAAGCTGACGTGATCGTCTGCCCAGAGACTATTTGTTTGACGATGACTTCTGCCTTCTTTCCATTTCGAGTTATCTAGATTCCGAATTTGCGTCAGCATATGTCTTCGTGCTTGCTGGATGTCACATGAAGGCTTTCAATCAACTGGAGGTGCTGGATACGGCACTTTCGTGACCTGCCGTTGACTGTGCCTTGAGAAATTACTGAAAGGGGGAGAAACTTACCGGGATCTCAGGAACTTCTACTATCGTTCCAGGCACATGCCTTTTGCTGTAGGCTTTGAGAATTTCTTTTCTCAGTTGTGCATCTAAATAATGCGTGAGCTTGTGGCCAGGTTTCGTCACCACAAACAAGATGACTATTTCCGATTGCGACTCTCGTGAAAGACGAGCACCGACACACACGGAGTCCTGAATTTGCGAAGTGAATTTTGACTCGACCACAGAGTATATGTCGGATGGACCAAAACGGATACCGTCGGGGTTCAAAATGCCATCTGACCGGCTCAGGATGAAAACACGCCCAGTGGCTTTGTTGATCTTGATGACATCGCCATGGCGCCAGACACTGTCAAAGACGTTGAAGTATGCCCTAAAATACTCTCGTCCATCAGCATCACCCCAGAAGAAAGGGGGCATGTTCGGAAACGGCTTCGTTACTACAAGCTCCCCCGGCTCGCCTTCTACGATTGGAACTCGTTTCTCGGGAGCTTCCAAGTCTTCGCTGTTGCTGCCCTGCGAGAGCTCATATGCATTTACTGCCATCCCGAGCGGGCGGCACTGAAATCCTCCCAAGAACACTGGAGTTAAAGGGTTGTTCATGGCTAGTGCTCCGGCCATGTCTGTTCCTCCACTAACGTTGCAGAGCTGAACATGGGGGGGAACGCTAACGTTGCAGAGCTGAACATGGGGGGGGAACGCGTCGTTGTAAAACCACTTGAACTGATCGTCTGTGAGCACCATGCCAGTTGAGGTTACCGTCCTGAGTGATGACAAGTCTGCAATAGCTCGTGGAGAAACGTTCTGCTTCTGGCAGCTAGCTAGCCAGCGAGGGGACGTTCCAAAGTCGGTAACCCTGCGTTGCAAATGGTTAGCACAAAGTGTCATCCTCTGAACTTGGCTCGTCCAGAAATGCCTCGAATATATAGTCGAGAAGCAGAGGCTTCACCTTTGCCTTTCCAGAAGACGAATGAATGATTGGCAATCGGGGAAAAGCGGTGATCCATCGTAGAGCACAATTCGCGACCCATGCAGCAGGACGACAACTGTGAGAATATAGACAATCCAGCTGGTCTTGGGGACACCGTTAGTGACCTGAATCTTGATTCTCGAAGAAAGGGTTTTTTTTTTTAGCCCTACCGAAGAGAAGTTCAAGCAGATCGTATCTGGCCCATAATTCTGATGCAGATGGCCTTCCTTTATCGCATTAAGGAGAACACCACCGGTTGAGTGGGTGATGCACTTGGGTTTTCCTGTCGTTCCACTGCTGTACACAATCAAGAAGGGTTCACAGAAGTCCAACCTCTCAAATGGAGCGGAATTGGTTTCTGAATTGCTGCCTCGGGATAGGAAGTCTCGAAGCACCTCAAATGGTGACCATTTTGCCGTGCTGCGTTGGTTCATCGCTTGCATCTCTTGGCTGAGAGGTGATGTATCGCCGCTTACAGACTGAATAATAACGCCCTCGAATTCTGTCTGGGCTGTAAGCCCGTCAAGTAATTGAATCGACAACTGGGATAGATCCATTGTCTTTCCATTATATATCGCTATGTCATCGACAAAGATGAGGCGTGGTTGTATCTGTCCAAGTCGATCAAGAATCGCTGGCGCTCCGAGATCAGTGCTCATACTGCTGAATATAGAGCCAATAGCTGTCGTAGCCAATAACAAGACCAGTGTATCGATTGAATTGCTGGCGACAGCAGCAACTCGGTCTCCGCGACGACAGCCTCGAGCACGTAATGCACCAGCAGTTAGAGCAACACGCCGACGCAAATGACCCCAAGTGACTTCGATACTGCCAGAAATGATTGGTTGCGATGTCTTCTCAGATACTGTCGGCTCCCTGGCAGCAATCAAGGCGATTTTGTCATCTTCCTTGCCCAAAGTGATTGAGCGAGAGGCATCTTTGGGGTCTGCGCTATAAAGGATGTTCTCGGCAAAGTTCAGCTTGATACCTTGGAACCATCGAGGGATCTTGTCCATTCTCTCAGTCTCATCCACTACCTGGGTATATGTTCCTTCGTGGATGAGACGGGCCTCATCCCAGAGGTCTGCCCAGAATTGGGTGCTGTCGGGACCAACGGACCAGTTGTACAAGTCCTGGTAGGTCTAAGGGAGTGACCGAGTTAGCCGGAACCACAGGCTTTCTCCCCTTTGACGCCGTCGATTGCTCTCTCACCTTCATAGCTTTGTGCCGCTTCTGATTGACATTTTGCATGAACCGCCACATACTGGTGGCTTCCATTGAGGATGGTCGCCATAGCTCTTCGGAGCTTGAGAAGTCAGTCTCTATGACTAGCTGAGGAGACATAATGCGAATGGATGCACGGTTGAGTGTTTTCGTTGAAATAAGATTCGATGGCTGTGGTGGCTATAGTAGTGACCTCAATCTACCGAGGCGCCGTAACCTGCCAAGTTATAGTATAGCCCATTGTGCTCAAGGGGCGGGGACGTCATGTCAAGACAGCCATTTCATATGACTAAACATGCATAATTTTGGGTACGGAACGCTCCCTCCAAAAGTCCCGCACCTCCGTGCGGGACAGTGTGCGGAACTACCGCACTGCAATTTTCACGTCTACACTTACGCGTTTGATGGACAAAACGGTACTACGGCAGAAGCTTAGGGTTAGGCCAGCGCGAGCGCGAAAGTAAGCAATCACCGAAAGGATCCGTAATTCCATCCATGTATCGACCGTGGGCGAGGTCTGGCAATTACGACACTGGTTCTACCAACGCGCTTTATGTAATTAGAGATTCTAGCAATGTCGCTTGTATTGACGATACTCTATAGATTCTTCATGGTACTTCGTCGTCAAAAGCATGAACAAATTCTTCAATTATTTCAGCATGTCGCCCTGCCGAGTTTGCTAGATATACAGATTGACAAATTGTACATCCGTTTCCTTCTCCAAACTTTGAATTCCGGCAATATCTTGAGTCCATTTCTTCACCTGATCCAACTGCGGCACCAGAATATCATCATAAAGGGTTCCCAGGCTCGTCAAGACTTGACCATATCCACCGCCATTGGCGAAGACATAGGCACGGGCATACGCTGCGGACGGCTCGAGCCGGAAAGCACAGCCTGCAGGTACGAAACCTGTTTCCCCAGCTGCCAATTCAGACGTTTTATTGCCAACAATCAGGGCCCATTTACCCATGAGAGCATAGACCGCATGGTGTGTGTCTTTGAACTGGACGGCCCACTTGAAGCTCGTCTTGTTGAAGTGGATGCTGGAGGAGATATCATAGACAGTAAACTTGTCGCCTGTTTCCTTCAAAGTTGCCATCGGTCTTACCACCGTGCCGCAGAGTTCCCAGCGATCGCCCTCGCCGTCGCGGAGGAAGTATCCGCCTTTCGCCATAGCTCCAGGCAGCTTGTTCTCACTGCCGTCCCACGGCTGTGGTTCGAACGCCTGCTTTTCTGGGACAATAGTCATGTCAAACTGGTCCGAAGCTGCCATCAGCTTCGGGAACAGTATCTTTGCTCGATCTCGTCGGTCGTTCGTAGGAAACAAGGAGCCTGCGTATCGCTCAGAGATGAAGCGAAAGTACTCCTCCCAGTCTCCAGGTATAATCAATCCAACGACCTCCGTGTGATATCGGTACGGCATATGATAACGATGGACGGTTCCCTATCAGCATGGATAAATTAGTCTTTGGCCCATTCCGCAGCATGGTTCTGGCATAATTCGTACCGGCGGAACACTGGCAAAGTCGCCAGGTCCAAGCTCTCGAGCTTGGTCTTCAGCCCACACCCGAACTCGGCCTTTGAGGCAGAGGAAAATGTCATGCGCGACATCGTGATAGTGGAAAGGAACTGGCTCGTCTTCAAGGCCTCCAGTTCCTACAACAGCGAATGTCTTGTTTGTCTCGTGGCCTGTCACCAGCATTCGCATGACCGAGTTGCTTGCTGGGATAGTCCATAACTCGCCCTCAAAACAAGGAACCACATATGGCTCATTAGGATTGCCTGGAGGGGCAGAAAGGCGTTGAATGGTAGGCTCTGATTCGGTCGTCATCGTATGAGCGAAGGAATAATGAAAGCGTGGCAACGGCTGGTAGAAAATTGCTTCGCAGCAGTCGTTTTCTGTCAAGCATAAGCAGCAACTTCTCTGATCTCTTTATTACGGGCGTCGAGTTGATATACTTTAAACGTTATAAGATCGCATGAGAGAGTGTACTTAAATTCATTGAACGAGAACCCAACAAGACCGCTACATAAAAAGCCCGGAACTTCCGCCCCCGACGCGTTCGAGTTGACGATGCCATCAAGGGCGAGATCTCCGCACGTGCACTCCAAGTAACTCCACAGTCTAGACCAACTCACCTTCGGCCATTCCGACCTCAATTTAGACCATGTTGGTCCATGAAACTTTCACACTGGCAACGTAGAGGAGCATGTTGGGAACTCTGTACCGTATTATTTCACCAACTTCAAGCAGACTTGCGGAAGTTCCGATAAGTGTGACCATTGAGGTGGGAAATAGCTCATAACAGACATACATCTCGCTGTCGAGAGTCTTTAGAGGCATCGTGAGCCTTTATTTAACCAGCGGTTTTGGATTAACCCTTCAAGACCAAAAACAGAAAATCAAAAGCACTTCAGTCTATTCCAAATTTCGCACAATGACATCCGACGCTTCACCCGTGATCTCTCTACTTCAAAGCCTTCACAAGGAGCATGGGCCAGAGATCCCCCAGATTTTGCCTGCGGCCTCCAAGGCCTTGACTCCTTTTCTACAAGCACATGCGCAAGACATCAAATCAGTCAGGGTCGCCACGCACCAGTACGGAGCACATGCTCGACAAGAAGTCGACTGGTATACTTGCGAGACTGCTCGACACGATGCTCCAATCCCTCTTCTCGTCTTCCTCCATGGCGGAGGCTTGACTCGTGGTGACAAGAACGAGCCCATGCCTCCAGGTGGCCTCGTGTACGCGAACTTGGGCCGTTTCTTCACCTCAAAGGGGTTTCACGTTCTCATTCCAAACTATCGCCGCGTCAACTCAATCGACCCCAAGACTGGCGCCGCGATTGCAGAAAACGAGAATGCTACATTCCCCACGGGCGGAAAGGATTTGGCCCAACTTCTTAAGTTTGTCGATACGCATCTCCCGTTCGCTGCGCCTGGGCAAAAGGTGAAAGTGCATATCATAGGATGCTCTGCCGGTGGAGTCCATCTCGGGACTTATCTATTCCATCCTCCACTGTTCCCTGACACAATTCATGCTGGAGGTTACGAGAATCTTGACATATCGACCGGCATCTTTCTGAACACGCCTTTTCATTTCAACGGTGCCGCTCCTTCGCGAAAGCCTGTCTTGGACGCATATCACCCTCCCAAGACTTACCCGGCGGACAAGTTCTCTCCGTATGGCCTTCTCGCACGATTTGACATACCGGATCCAGAGAATGCGCACAAAGGTCCACAGATAATTATCATCACTGCTGAATACGATCCTCAAGAGATACTGAAGCCGGCTGAGGATTTCATCAAGCTCGTACAAGGGAAGGCAGGTTTCGTGAGTGAGGTTATCAGACTTCCCTCACATAACCACATCAGCCCTCCCATGACTCTAGCGGTGGGGGACAGCGAGGGGGAGAAATGGGGTAGTGAATTGGCACAGAAGCTGAAAGCTAGACTGTAGGTGGATAGTAGACTTGGCTGCTGTCGGCTCTGTTATCTAGACTTTTTAGTTAGAATAAAATATCTGCTACTTCTAGAAGTATGATTGGATTTATTAAGAAAGTGGCACATGTCTGGCCCAAGCAACACCTTCTCTATTCCGTAGGCTTCCCCTGATGTACGAGTCTCTCCTGAGATGACTCTGTTTCCAAACAGAAGTAGTTAGGGCGTCTAGTTCTGACGTTGAACGCGGGCATTAGAAAGCTTCCATGCCATTAACCTCAGATTTGCCATTTGTCTCAGAAATCCCCAGATAGTGTTGACGCCGAGAGAACTCGCCAAACCCAATTCGGCCCAAAGTACCTAAGCGCCGCGGAATTTCCGCGATCTGGCTGCTGTCCTGGCAAAGGATGCAGGTATTCCGTCATTGTCGCATGGGGGATCCTGGGGGTATCTGTTAATAGGAAGCGGACATGGCGGAACAAAGGTAAATTTGCAAGCCAAGTGGGGGAAGCAAATTTTCGTCTAATGTTAAGATTTCTTCTTTTAATGTCGAGGGCAGAATCGTAGGGTCACAAATTTCCCCAACCTAACCCAGCAACCTCAGCCAAAGTGCACCACTCACGCTTCTCGAAAATGGCCTCTTTCAATGTTATTATCATAGGCGCAGGATTGTCCGGAGCTTTGCTTGCCAATGGACTTTTTAACAATGGAGTTCAAGTTGCGATCTATGAGAGAGACGACAAGGAGACTAACCGCGAGGGCTACCATATTTACTTGGGGTCACCAGCACTGGCCGGCTTTAAGGCTTGTCTCAACAGTCAACAGCTGGATGCTGTACTTGGGAAACTGGGTCGAAACTCATCCAAGACGATGTTCACAGCACCCACGGTTCATGACGCTCAATTCAGAAAAATAATTGAGCTTGTCAAAGTGCCTTTCTACGCCAAGTCAACCCCCATCAATCGATCGACACTTCGTCGGCTCCTTCATGAACCACTCCAAAAAGCCGGATGCGCGTTTTACGGTCACATCTTCCAGTCTTACGAGCACTTCGTTGATGAATATGGTTGTGACAAGATTCGAGTGCAGTTCACCGATGGCACAACTGCTACTTGTGATGTTCTTATTGGGGCGGATGGGAGCGCTTCCAGGGTTAGAGCACCTTTTTCTACTTGGGGTCGATGTCTCCCTCCATATTTTCTTCTCGATCACTGACACTGAATAGGTAAACTATCAAGTTGGCGCCAGAAACCTGGTACCTCTGCCGACAAAGATCTCGTTCCTTGACAAAGGTCGCCTTCCGTATAGCAAGCTTCGTGAACTTCCAGAGGTACTTCAAAAAGGTCCAGTATTCGCATTCTCAAAAGGCATTGTACTCCTCTTTGCTGGTATGCGCCATTCATCTCGTTGTGTCGCGTGCTCGGACATGAGTCTCACCAAGATTTAATAGTCTATCTGCCCCCGAAATCTACATCCGTCTCGAAGGATGTGATCGACAAAAACCAACCTGTCTACGAAGAAGAAGAAGCATCATGGTACTGGAGCCTCACGGTCGACAGAGATATGATCCCGTTCATTCAACTCTCTGACATTCCTCAACGCCGAATCTTTTGTCAAAGTCTAGTCAAGACTTGGTCTCCTGAGTAGTAGTGAGTCAAAATTAAACACTTTGTCAGATGAGGTTAAGAAATGGCCATTCTGATGCCACATCTAGCGACCAACTTCTCTCCCTCGGCAACGACAGACCAGATGACATATATGTAACTGAATGGAGAGCCAGCCGGCCCCTGGAGCCTGAGTGGAGGAATCACGACGCTAAAGCGGGCATGGTCTCAAAGGAAGATTCCTACAGAATTTGGTTGCTTGGGGATGCTGTACATGCTATGCAGCCAACTCGTTACGTGCAGCTCTTTTCCCGTTGGCGCAATATTGTTAGCAATGCAAGCACACAAGGCTAATGGATGCATTCGTTTTCGCAACAGGGGCCAAGGTGGAAACCAGGCGATCAATGATTGTGCAGATATCTTGCCATCGCTAATTAATCTGCACAAAATTACTCTGAATGGTAAGGCACCATCAACACTGCAAGTTAAAACCGAGTGTCAGGAATATGAAAGGAAGATGTTCGCTCGTGCCTTTACATGGGTAGCGAGGAGCGGCGGAATAAAGCCCCATGTGAGTCTTGCCTGCTACGCCTGCATTCCATCAACATGACAAAATGAGGGTCAACATGAATTACTTCGTATTCTGACACTCCCAGGGCCTTGATTTGGATGGATGGAAGGGCATGATGGTATACATCCTGGCCAGGACGGTGGTTCCAGTCATCAATTTGGTCTACAAGGTTTTTAATGTTGAACACGAGACTTGAGACAGTCCTTCTGTCAAATCTGGGTCCTGAGATAGAAAATCAATTGAACAATCCATGAAATTAGTCTGACTCGTATAACGCGAATCTGCCTATGCAGAACTGTGAATGAGGTTATAGCAAGTAAAGAAGCACCCCGGTGATCCAATTGAACGGAGCAGAAGCGTAGAGTTGCTCTGAGTAGCTACGACTGCTGGGAGGTATGAATCGCGACATTGAAACAGCGAGAGCGTCGGAGCTGTCAAGGCAGGTCTCGGGATAAGAGCAAAGGGATTTCAGGAAGCAGTTAGGGAGGGTGGTGGGGCGGAAAGGGATAAGGAAGCATAGTACGGATGTCTTTATTAACTACTTATCTTAAAATAACTTATTTTCTTTAAGATTCTATACTTAAAAGGTAACTGAAATTTAATTATATATATATAATATCTTATTAAGCTTAAAATATTTTTAATATAAAATTTATTTAATTAAGTAAACTTAAATAATATTTCTAATTATAAAATATTATTATCTTATGCTATATTAAGT